GCCGCGCGGCCCCGCGGGAGGGCGGCGCTGGCGGCGGCGCTCGCGGCCCGCGGCCGCCCCGGCTCGTTGTTGGGCCCGGGTAGTTTTCCACGGCTGCCGCCTTGCTCAGCACTTTGCGAGCGGTGATTCAGGCGGCTGTTTCCAAACTTAGCGCCTGGCGCTTCGGCTCCCAGCCCGGATTTCCGGCTCCGGGCGGCCGGGCAGCCACAGCCTGGCCGAGCTGCGGGCGCTGTGGCTGCTCCGCGCAGCCTCCCCGGCCCCAACAAGGGTGGCCCCGAACCCTGTGGGGACCCCRGGAGCAGCTGTGGGACAGCGGACGGAGTGTGGAACCCTGCASGGGGAGGGCCCTGTCACGGATGTTGGGATGCTCCAGGCCCCAGGAGGATGCGCTGGTCCCTGGGATGGAGCATCTCCTGGGATGGGGATGCTCCAGCCCCTCAGTGCAGGGATGGTCGTGTCCCCAGGGGGTGCACTGGTCCCTGGGGTCAGGACATCCATGGGCCCAAGATGGAGATGCTCTGGTGCCTCCTCCGGGTGCAGCTGTGGGGGTTTGCATGTCAAAGCAGTGTCCCCAGACCCCTGAAACGGGCAATACTAACCCCGGCCACAGCTGCCTCCTGGCTCGTTTTCAGATCCAGCCGGCAGGACACGGCTCCTGCCCTGGTCCCTGCAGCGCAGCCCGCGGGAGCCCCGCTGCTGGAGGCCCTGGCCGTGGGGCAGCGGGGCGGGTGGCGCCGGCTCTGCGCCGCCACATTAACCCTCTCCTCGTGCTCCCCGCCAGGGCTCCCCGTTCATGCTCAGCATGTCGGCGGCGCGGCGAGCCGGCGGCTGCGCGCGGCACACGGTGCTCGTCCTTCACTGCCCTCACTGCTCGGTCACCGTGGCCTCACCGTGCCCCAACCTGCTCGTCCGCACGGTGAGTGCTGCGCCACGGGGCCGGCTTGCTGCAGGGCACCCTTGGGTGATGGTGCAGCGAGACCAGGGGGCTGCAAACGCTCCATCCTGCGGGTGCTTTCCCGGTGACACGAGGCTGCACGTGCAACGTGGGGCTGAAGCAAGTGGCATCCCCAGAGATGCTCTCCTCAGGGGCAGCTGCCAGCACTGGGTTTGGGGGATGCTCCCTRCAAAGACTGGGCTCTCTCAGTGCCCGAGGGCACCCGCCTTCCCCTTTCCCAGCCATCTCGCTACCCCGGCGCCCACATCCTCTCCCCGCGGCAGCCGGGGCCGCGCGGGGCTGCTGGCCRCGGATCTGAGCGCGGGGCAGGCCGGGCGCCCAATGACGCACGGCACTTGAAAAAGCTCCCGTTTCCTCCGGCTGCCGGGAGGAAGGTCAGCCCTGGGCTTTGGCTCCGGCCAGCGGAGCCGGCCGCTTTGTTAGCAAAATAAACCTCCCGCTTTGTTTGCGGCTAATAATAAAGCGGGGCTGAGCTCCCCGCGTGCTGCTGGCCTCCCACGCTGCGCCCAGCCCACGGCCACCCCCAGATCCCTGCTCATCCAGAGGGGACCCCAGCTCCCGCCTTTGGTTCCAGAGACATCTGGTTGCTTCGACTTCCAAACAGCATCCRGATGCACAGGGAAAAAAGGCATGGGTGTTTGCATGCAGTTGCAGCGTGGGCTCAGTGTCACCAGCTCACGTCACCGCTCGCTTTGCAGAACGCCAACCTGAGCCCGGGTGCCAACGCGTCCTCGCTGGAGCTCCCTGAGGACGCCGGTGAGCAGGAGCTGCTGCGCTGGGCCCGCGGTGTCTACGGGGGCATCACGTCCTACAGCGAGCTGCAGGAGCCGCGCTGGGTGCTCCTCCACCTGGGCGAAGGTACGTGGGGCACCGTGGTGGGCAGGACGGGGGTTAGGGCGCTGCACGGCCATGGGCCAGGGTGGGACAAGTGTCTGGGGTGGCCGGAGCGCCACGCTCGGGTGCCGGCCCCGCGCCGGCGCTGCCAGCCCTGCCGCCCTCCCCGCAGACGGCAGCAGCCCCGAGGAGTGCRTCCCGCGGGAGCGCTTCAACGCGGCGCCGCACCTCGAGGCCGAGGTCTTCTTCCGTGGCATGAAGGGCTGCTCGAGCGGCCCCGCCGAGGGCRCCAGGGCCGCCCACATCATCCGCCTGCAGCCCGAGCACAGGTACGGACGGTACTCGTCACCCCGCCGAGGCCGCTCTGTCCCGGCGGCCACTCTGACCCTGCCATGGGGTGCTCCCGCTTTCGCAGCTCGGCCATCACCGAGGTGAACCTGTCGCTGAACTGCGCCAAGGTGGCTGGGGACAACCAGATCCTCATCCTGCAGAGCCACGTCAACCTCACCTGGTCCCTCTCCGTGAACAACTGCCACATACAGTTCCTGGTAGGGCCCCGCTGCCTCGCTCTTCCCTGYGCAGGATGCTCTGGAGATGCCGGCAGCAGCCGCAGGGTTGGGGAGGGAACATGGCAGCTCCCTTGGGGACAGGGTGCAGGGACAGGGCAGCGTCTCGGGGCCACCGGGGAGGGTGCAGTGCTGTGGGTGACTCGGGGCCACACACACAGCCCCAGCACCGGGTTGGTGACACCCGCTGCCTCCTCAAAGCCCGACTGTATATGTGACCCAGCTCGGGACTCCAACTGTGTTTCCTCCTCCATCCCAGCCTCTACCTTCATCCTCCCCAAACCCTCCATGCACCGGATTGGCCCCTGCCCGGGCAGTGAATTCTGCCTTGCAATGGGGAAGAACCAAATACAGGTCCCAGAGCGACTCATGGCCCGATGTGACCTCAGCCCTGTCCCCATCCCGACCCGCCACTGCCCTGTCCCCTGCAGGCGTCAGGCACCTACAAGATCGTGGACATGTCCACGGAGCTGCTGCAGGGCCAGGTGCTGCCGGACACGGAGCAGGGCCTCATCGCCAAGGCCTTTGAGAAGAACTACCGGGTCATCGCCTCCTACTCCATCATCCCGCTCAGCAGCCGCGTGACCATGGACATCCAGGAGCACGGTGAGCCCAACGGCACGGGGACAGTGCACGGGGCGGCCCCGCTGCCGTGGCCGCCACCGGCTCAGCCCCCCGGCCCCTTCCCGCAGAGGCGGCCAAGGAGCCCCCCACGACGCCCGCCCCCACGGCGCCCAGCTCCGACACGCTGTCCTACATGCTGCTGCTCACGCTGCAGCCCTGGAAGTGCACGGATGACACCATGGAGATCGTCATCGCCCGGTCCCACCTGGAGGTGAGGGGGACAAGGCCTCCCGCGCGTGCCGCCCAAGGCCACGGCTGYTTTGTAGGCATCGAGCATGGGGGGAACATGGAGACGGGGTGGAGGGACGGCCGTGAGGCCACCCCGAGGCCGTGGGAAGCTGCCGGCGCCAGGCACTGCCCTGGAGCTGCTGCTTTGCCCTCAGCCCATCAAGGACGTGGTGAACATCACCCTGCGGGACATGAGCTGCCAGGCGGAGAGGAATGCCACGCACTTCATGCTGCGCACGCCGCTCAGCCACTGCGGCACCTCGCTCGAGACCAAGGGCCACGCGCAGAAYGAGGTGAGTGCGGCCCGGCCGCCCCACGGCGCCGGCCGTGGCCCCGCGGCCGCCCTTGACACCTCGCTCCCTTCCCTCGCAGCTCATCCTCAGCCTGTCCAGGGGCTCGTCCCTGCAGAGCGTGTCGGTAAGCACAGAGCAATCTGAGCTCAACCAGGGCCGGGGGGGKACATGCACGGCCGGGGCTCAGCCCGTCCCCCCGCAGGTGCCCTTCCAGTGTGAGATCCCCCGGGAGCTCTTCCTGCGCCTCTTCCCCACGGCCGCCTTCGAGGCGCCGCAGACGGAGCTGGAGGTCAACAAGGAGGCCTATCTGCAGGTAGGCGCGGTGGCCGTGCGGCGGTGGCGGCAGCGGYGGGGCYGGTGGCGCCCGCGCTGACGGCGTCTCCGCGCGCAGGCCTCCATGCGCTGGGAGGACTACCCGGCCGACCTGCAGCTCAAGGAGTGCTGGCTGGCGGCGCCGGGCGCCGAGCCGCGGCTGCTCGTGGTGGCCAACAAGGCGCAGGGCGCCGGCGTGGCTGTCCTCGAGGGCTCGCCCAGCAGCCGCGTGCGCAAGGTCTGGCGCCTGCGCTTCACCTACGCCGTGCCCGAGGGAGACCGCGTGCCCTTCTCCGCCAGCCTCACCTGCAAGGCTGGCCTGCAGGTCAGTCCTCTCAGGCCCTTAACCCCGTGGCTGGGTTCCCTGGCCACCGCGTTTGTCCTTGGCCTCATCACAAGGCCTGGGGACGCGGCCGGCCCTGGGGAGCTCGGCTCTCACGGTGTCCCTCTACCTCAGAACAACACCATCTTCGAGAAGGTCCTGGAGGTGACGGTGAAGGACGTCTGGCGGCCGCAGAACAGTGAGTTTGGGGCGGGACGGGGTGGATCCTGGGGAAGAGGCTGAATTAGCATGGAAAACTCTGAGATGGGATCTGATTAATATGTATAAATATCTGAAGAAGGAATGTAGGGAGGAAAATCTTCTCAGTGGTGGTCAGGGACAGGACAAGGGGCAATGGGTACAAGTTGAAACCCAGGCAGTTCCATCTCCATGTGAGGAGGAGCTTCTTCACTGTGAGGGTGACAGAGCCCGGAACAGGCTGCCCAGGGAGGTTGTGGAGTCTCCTTCTCTGGAGATCTTCCAAACCCACCTGGATGCCACCATGTGCCCCGTGCTCTGGGTGTCCCTGCTGGAGCAGGGGGTTGGACTAGATGGTCTCTAGAGGTCCCTTCCAACCTCAACCATTCTGTGTGTGATTCTGTGATCCCAAACTGGGAGCCCCCCGGTCCCTCGCGGGCAGAGCAGGGTCCTCACGGCACCTGTCTTCCCCGCAGACCGAGGCCTGGGGCTGGCCGCAGTGCTGGGCATCACCTTCGGGGCCTTCCTCATCGGGGCRCTGCTCACCGCCGTGCTCTGGTACATCTACTCGCACACCCGTGAGTATCCCCCCAAACTGGAGGGGTGGTGGTGGCAGGAGAAGGGGGGGCCTGGGAGTGTTTTCCCCCTGGGGAAGCGAATCCTCCCTCCCCAGCTCAAACACACCCCCGCGTCYGGCAAAGGCGGCCGGGCTGGCACGTCCTTATCGGGCTCATTGTCCTCATGGCGGAGGTGCCGTATGAGAACGGGGCYGCTCGGTGCATCCCCCGAGCCCAGCTCGGCGCTGGACCCCAGCACCCATGTCCTCTCCCCCGCGCGCGGCGCATCCCGAGGCGCCGCGGCCTCTTCCTGGCCGCCGGACGCTTATCTCCATCCCACGCCGGGACTGGCGATCCCACGCCAACAAAACCAGGGCAGCCAGCACCTCATCCGGGGGCTGGGGGGGAACGGCTCCATTTGGGATGTGGAATGATAGCCCCATGCCAGGGAAAACACAGGGACGGGAGCTCTTATCTGTGCTGCAAAGGTCACGTCCAGGATGAGCCGTCGCAGCCCGGCTGCCTGCCGCCACGTTTCTTTTTGTTGCTTTTGTCTTTGGTTTTTTTTTTCCCCTCATGGTTTCTTCTCCCCGTCCCCAACCCCGCTCCGACTTGTGACATAATCCAGGTCCCATCTCCAAAATGCAGCCGGTCTCCACCACGGCGCCGGCCTCGGAGAGCAGCAGCACCAACCACAGCATCGGCAGCACCCAGAGCACCCCCTGCTCCACCAGCAGCATGGCCTGACGCCCGCCGGGCTGCCCCTCGCCCGCCTCCCCACCGCCGACGGCTGAGCACCCCGCGGAGCCCCCGCGGCCGTGAGGACACCCCAGCCACGGCATCCAGGGGCTGCCCGGAGCCCTCTGGCCCTACGGAGGCTTTTTGCTCCCGCAAAACTCAGGGGGTCGCCTTGCTCCGGCCGAGACCGGAGCGGGGGTCCCGCCGCCGCCCTTATTCATTCAGTGAATGGTTTGGCTCTGCCAGGGCGGCGGGCACCGGCGTCCCCCATCCCGCTGAAGCAGCCGCACGGCGAGGCGCGGAGGGAGGACTGGGGGAAAGGAGCCCCCCRGGGCTGTCCCGGCTCCTCCGGGTTCCTCCTGGGGGTCTCCCAGCTCCGGTGACACGTGAGACGCAGCCACCCCCCCAGAGAAGGCACCGGCCCCGGGCTCGGAGCAGCACGAGGTTTATTGGGTTTGGACCGCAATGGAGCAGGCGTCACGTGGCGCCTCGCTGCCCTTCTCCAAACTAGGCCATTTGTAGAAAATAAAAAATATATATTAAAAATAAAACAAAACAAAACAACAAAAAAATGGGCCTTACACCCAGCTTATCTTCTGGTCAGTTGCAAACTCTTCATAATAATAAAATCTACCCTATGTTAAATTAGTCACAACTCTGTAAAGGATTAAACCTCAAAGCATCGTCTGCAATTCATTCCTACCGCTGCGGGTGGCCTCCCCTCAAACCCAGGCCTCCGTCCTCCGAAAGCTCTGGGACGCCGGCAAGCAGCGGAGGGGGCAGAGCCCCCCATTGCCCGACACCCCCACACAGGGCCAGCCCCTCCGAGCTGAGCTCGCCCCCAAACCTGTCTGGAGAGCGGCCAGTGTGGCAGCAAAAGGCAGCAAAAGGCACTGGGTGAAACAGGGTGCAGGGTCCCGCTCCAAGGGGCGCGCACAGGTGACAGGGAAGGGGTTTCACTCTCCCCTCCGTGCGGCAACGGTGGCTCCCGGCCCCAGGGTGGGCAGAGGTGGGATAAGGGTAGGGAGAAGGTGGAAGGAGGGCGCAGGGAAGCAGCAGAGCGTGGCCACRGTGGCACTGCCACAGGGTCCCTTCCCTGGAGGGTCTCCTGCGGTGCCACCTCCACACTTCATGAGGGGACGAGGCAGCTATTCAAGTAAAAGGAGGAGCAAAAAACTGAACCCCCCAAACTCGGGCTACTGGGAGAGCGCCGGGTCGAGCAGCTTGAGGACGCCGCCGACAAGGTGCAGGCTGCCCGTGACCAGGACGCGGATGGCGGYGGCCTCCTGCAGCAGCACGGCCCCGCTGCTGGCCACGGGGTGCGGGTGGGCGCCCTTGGCGGCGGGCGCCGGCACGCAGGGGTCCCGGCCCTGCGCGATCCACTGCAGCGCGTGCGAGATGCAGGGGAAGACGAGCGAGTTGGAGTTGAGTGGCCGCTCGGCGGAGGGCACGAGGAGCAGGGCTCCGCGCACGGCGTCCGGCTTCAGCAGGCTGCCCACCTCGAGCGGCGGCGCCAGCCAGACGTCCTGGCCCACCTTCTCCTCCAGGAGCTGCGTCCACGTCTTCTGGTTCTCCAGGCAGCGCGTCAGGGCGTTCTCCAGCGTCACGTTGAAGTTCTGCTGGTCTGCAGGAGACGGAGAAGGTCAAAGCAACGGAGCCACACGGGGTCCCAGCAACGGTTCCCRGCTTTGCCCACACAATGTGCCCCACCATCAGCCTCCTCACTCCAGCCCCGGCTCCAAGCACGGCACCCCGCGGAGCCGGACACTCACCCGCGCTGCCCACCACCGACACCTCTGTGAAGTTGGGGCAGAAGACGGCGTAGTCGAACTGGCAGGGCTGGGGTGGGAGAAGGGCACTGAGCAGAGCTCGCCCAGCGCAGCGCCCAGGCAGGGAGCCAGGCACTCGGCTCATGCTCCCAGTGCCACCCATAGGGATCGGAACTGGGAGCAATCCGAGGCCAGCAGGGTCTCTCGGGAAGTTTAGCCCAGAGCAGGCAGCCAGGACACCAGGCTTTTCCAAGCATGGTGAGGACCAACCCATCCACAAGCCCCTGGGTGCCAGATGTGGAGCCGAGGTCTCCCACTGCACCCAGGTCCAGGGCACCCAAAGAAGCGCAGAGGACACCAGGGCAGTGCCAAGCACGCAGGAGACAGTCGGACAGGAAGCTGGACAGACAGGCAGYGCAGGGCACCAGCTCCACCTCGTGGCACCAAGCAGCAGAAAAGCGGGTCCCGACGGCACTCGGGGCCAAGGGCTCCCCTGGGCARGTGCTGCAGAGCCCGGCCCCCCAGTGCAGCCCCTCGCCTGGCCCCAAACTCACCAGCAGCAGCTTCAGCAGCGCCGCCGTGTCCCGATCCCCCGTGGCGTTGAAGAGCAGCACCCGCACCTCGGAGCCGCTGCGAGGAGGACACCGTGCTCAGGGCTGGTCTCCCATGGGGTCCCACCAGCCCCCGAAAGCACCGGGGGACCCGGCGCCCCGCTGCCCTTCCTCCCGGAGCTGCCGTCCCTTACTCCTGGGGCTTGTCCTCGTTGAGGGCGGCCTGGCGAAACCAGCGGACGCAGGCCTGGACGCTGCTCGTGGTGTGGGCGCCGTCGAGGTACCAGGTGACGGGGCCGTGGGGCAGCACCTGCGTGCGGCCCAGCCACTCGGCCTCCCGCAGCCCTGGGGGCGCAGGAGCAGCACTGAGTGCCCACAGCGCCCCGACACCGCCCCCAGCCCCAAATCTCAGTCTGTGCAAAACAGTGCCAGGAGCTGGGCATGGGGCTAGGACCCGCACCCTACCTTGGACCATGGCGACGCTGGGGCGAAACGCGGGCGCCAAGGGCACCGTCCGCCCGGCCTCGACACTCGGCGGCAGATCCATCAACTCCCCGCTACCTGCCGGAGAGGGGCATCGTGGTGAGACGCAGCCTCCGCACTCACCACCGGCGTTTCTCGGGCTGCGGGTCGAGGTCTCACCGCAGCGGCCGTGGTGCTGCAGCCAGGCGCGGGCGAGCTGCAGGGCGAGCGCGGCATTGGAGCGCTGGTGGTCGCCCGCCAGCCCCAGGGCCAGCGCTCGGCCGCCCTCCTCGAAGGCGTCCAGCTCCGGGCACAGGTAGAGCGGGCACTGCGGGGAGCGCCAGGTGAGCGCGGGTGCCACGGGCAGCACYGGGTGGGCACGGGCAGCACCAGGTGAGTGTGGGCGCCGCTCACCGCCGGGGTGATCTCACACTCACCGCGCACTCGCGGGCCCGTGCCCGCAGCACCTCCAGCGGCCGCTCGGGCTGCGCCACCGTGAACGCCGGCACTCCGGGCTGCGGAGGACACGCGCGTCACCGGGGGCGATGCTCGCGGCAGGGGAGGCTGGGGGGAGATGCTACCTTGAAGATGCCCCCTTTCTGCCAGGCGATCTTCTCCAGCGTGTCCCCCAGGATGCTGGTGTGGTCGATGCCCAGGGAGGAGACCCCGCACACCACCGGCTTCCTRCGACAGGCAGCGCATGAGGCGCCGYGCCAGCCAGGCTGGGGTGCCCGCGGCGCCGCTCCACRGCCCCCGCACCGCTCCTACCTGATGATGTTGGTGCAATCGTAGGCGCCGCCGATGCCGACCTCCACCACGGCCAGGTCCACCTGGGGACACACGGACACAGGAGCCATTACGGGGCCATGGAGGGCACGGCGAGATCCCAGCCAGATTCAGCTGGGGCAACTCGCTCCCCTCTGCAGCAGCTTTCCCCCAACCAGGGCCGCACGTGACGGCGCGAGGCCCCTGCTGCGCCGCGGCCCCCCAACACCTACCTTCTCCTGCAGGAACACGTGGAAGGCCATGATGGTGAGGAAGCGGAAGTAGGCCGGCATGCTGGCACGCGATGGGTCCTGCAGGAGAGCAGCGTGTCAAGGGGGACCGGGGTGACAGCCCAAACCGCAGTGTGCGCAGCCAGGGATCCCCCCAACGCCAGGGATTCTCCCACTCCATGGGGACAAACCGAGGCAGCACCATGGCCACAGCCAACACATGAAGCAAACCGGAGGTTCCCGAAGGACTGGGCGACGTGAAGCAGCCAGGGCATTGGCCCCAAAATGACATGCCCACCTTGGTCTCCTCGAGGCGGTTGTAGACGAGCCAGAAGTACTTGTTGAACTGCTCCTTGCTGATGGGCTGCCCATTGATGCGGATCCTCTCGCGCACTTGCACCAGGTGGGGGGAGCTGGGGAGAGCGAGGACACGGTCGGGCCTGTCCCCGCGCGTCCCCTCGCCCCTCACAGCCCTGCTGCCCACCTGTAGAAGCCCGTCTTGAGGCCGTAGCCRCGGAGGATGCGCTCCGTGAAGGCGCAGGCCGAGCCCTGCCAGTGGCACCATCGTGAGCCCTTGGCGGTGCCGGCAGGTGCCGGAGCCCCCGCTGGGCCGGAGCTGCCCGCGCGCCGCCGGCCTCACCTTGCCCTTCGTCCCCGTGACGTGGATGATGTTCAGTCGATCCAGGTCCTCAACCTGCCAGAGGTCAACAAACCCGTGAGCCCCTTTGCAGCCGGGCCCGGGCGCCGCCGGAGCACCGCGGGCCAGGGCCACGCACGGGGTCCAGCGCCCGCGCTCACCTGCAGCCCGCTGCGCGCCAGGAAGCCCCTCATGGCCTCYAGCTGCGCCCGGGGGTCTCCGCGCTCCCGCTTCACCTGCTCCAGGTAGCTGGCGTTGGTCTGCAGCGTGTTGAGCGCRCGCACGGCGTCCTGGAACGAGGGCGGGCGGCTGCATGAGGGCGCCGCGGCCCCACCGCCCGACACCGCCACCCCAGCCATGGCCCCGCGCGCCGGCGCTGCCGGCCCGGCTACTTATGGACGAGGGCCCGGCGGGCAGCGCCCGCCCCTCCTCCGGACACGGGGCAAGGGGCAGGCGCCGCCGCGTCCCGCTGCCAGCCCGGCAGCGCCGGCCCTGCTCCCGCGAGGGATGCGCCCGCCCCGCGCGGCCAAAACCCCCTGCACGTGGCCGCAGCGCCGCACGTGCCCAGCCCACGAGAGCCACGCAGGGCTCAACGGGAGGACGCGCGGGAGCGGCGGAGCYGGCGCTGCGCCGCCCTCCTCGGCTCGGCCCGCGAGCCCCGGCCGCTCTCAGTGACCTGCGGGCAGGAGCCCCGATGGCCCCGCGAGCCCCGGCCACTCTCAGCACCGCGCGGCCCTGCGCCCCTACGAGGCTCCCCGCGAGCAASGCGGTTTGGGGCAGCGCCAAGCGGCAGCGCTCGGAGCAGAAACGAGTGCCCCGTGCGAGGCACCGCGGCGAGCGCCCGCGGCGGCGCTGGCACCGGCGCCACTGGCACCCGCGCGCCCCGGGAGGCCCGAGGCGGGGGACGGCCCTGGTTGTGTGCAGGGCCGCGCGCTGCATGCGCCGCTGTCACCTGCACGTGCCGCTGTCACCTGCACGCGCCGCTGTCACCTGCACACACCGCTGTCACCTGCACGCGCCGCTGTCACCTGCACGCGCCGCTGGCACCAGAGCCACCCGCTGCTCCCGCACCCAGCCCGTCTCCCCACAGCACCGCCCCCCTCGGCCACCAGCTGCTCGTGGGCCTATGCTTTGGGGGTCCCTCTGTCCTGGCATCACTGGGGTCCTTCCGAGGGGTGCAGGGCTATGGGGGCCCTGCAGGGGTGCAGGGCAGAGATGGCTCTGGGGCCCGGGGGGTGTGTTGGGTGAAGCCCATCCCCTGTGGGGCCTGCAGGACGGCCCTGCCCCATGCAATGTCCCCATGCGCTGCTGTGCCCCATGCAATACCCCTGTGCCCCGTAGCACAACCCTGCCCCACGCAATGCCCCTATGCACTGCAGCACAGCCCTGCCCCATCCCTGTGCCTTATCGCCCAGCCCTGTCCCATTGCACAGCCCTGTCCCATGCAATGTCCCCATGCCCCACTGCCCCACGCGATGCACCCATCCCTATTGCACAGACCTGCACATACCTGTCCCCACCGCACAGCCCTGCCCCACGCAGTGTCCCTGTCCCCACCGCACAGCCGAGCCGCACGCCCTGCCCGTCCCCGCGCGCTGCAGCGCTCCGGTCCCGCAGCGCAGCGCCCCCCGCCCGCGCACAGGGCGCCCCGCGCGCCCCCGCCGCCCCGCACCTGGTAGTCGGCGGCGGGGGCGCGCGCGGGCCGCGAGCTGCAGCGGCTGCCGCCCCGCGCCCGCAGCGCCCCGCGCAGCGCGCGCAGCCCCCGCGCCACCATCGCGGCGCGCGCGTCCTGCCGGGAGCGCCGCGCGCGCGCACGTGGAGCGGGGCGGGGGAGGAGGGGCCGCCCCGGGGCCATCTTTGACCAGGGCGCCGCGCGGGAGGAGTGGGCGGGAGGGGGGCGGCGGGCGCCATCTTTGAGAGGGGCAGCGGCGTGAGGCGCGCGAGCGAAACGCGTTTTGGCCCGCGGGGACGCCCCGGAGCAGGGGAGGGGACCCGCCTTGGCCCCTGCGTCGTGAGGGCGGCAGAAAGGCGCTGCTGAGGCTGCCCCAGCGCCGTGCTGGGGGCAGCGCCAGCAGCCTCCCACGAGGCCACTCACCCGCCTGCTTGCCCCCCACGGCTCTGGCCTCTGTCACCCCCCTGAGCAGCTCCAGAATAAAAATTAAAAATATATATTTTTTTAAATCCTTGTTTTGGCAGTGTAAGAGCTGCTGCGCTGCACCAAGGCACAGGTTGCGAGAGGAAGCCGGAGTCTCTCAGGCTCAGACTTCGCTCCCTGTCCACGCACTACGTTCATGCCATGCGTTCCCACAGTGTCCGGCTCCAAGCCCGGCCCGCTGCCCCCAGGCAACGGGACAGGAGCCGGTTCTCCCAAGAACTTTCCTAGAAAGGGAGCCCAGGACCCGCAGGCACCCGCTGYGGTTGTGAGGAATCCTGGACATGGTGCCAAGTTCGGTGCCGCTCTGAGCACAAGCACAAAGTGCCCAGGAGATCCAAGGCGCCGGCTCTGCCCACACGGTCCTGCCCCCGGGCAGCGCAGTTACAGGCTGCGGCTCTGCCCCGCATCCCACATCCACCCACGCTCAGCCCCAGGGCGCCGCCGAGGCCCGGCGGCCTCATCCTGCGGCACACGCGGGCTCCTGGTTGTGCCCACACGCGTAGCGGCTCCTACGGCCCTGTTCAAGCTGTGGGACACGCAGGACACAGGAGCGCGTGGTGCCACCCTGCCCCAGGGCCGATGAGCKGGGCCACGTCCCAGCCAGAGACCCTGCAGCCAGCACTACCTCTGCTGCTGTTCAGCTGCTCAGACACCTGCGCTGCTCGCAGCCAACTGCGGCAAACCTCCCACCCATTAAAGCCATTTTCCATGTCAGCACAAGACCAGAGTCAAACAATTCATATACTTATTAAAAAAAAAAAAAAAAAGCACCCCACTGAGGTGAGTTATGCTTGTCTGAATTTGAATCTGCTTGCCTGCCTCAGCACATCAAAGATGTGCTCCTTCACAGCACTCGAGCTGGTTTCTCCTTTTAGGGAAAAGGAAAAAAAAATTACACAGGGGAAAAAATAATCATTTGGAACAGCAGTGTGTTTATTCATAACTGGCAGAAGTAATCTAGCTTATTGCTTGCAACCAACTTCATTTTTCCGAAGAGACTGCGTCCCCCCCAGCTGAACACTATTTGAGAGCCCCACAACAACAGAGATTTACCTTATAGACGTCCTTTATCATCTTCACTTTCTGTTCTGACAACAGTCCGCTCAGCACCGCTCCCTGCCCCACGATCTCCCGCAAGCAACGTGGCTTTTGCCATTAGTCTGGTTAACGGACAACCTACCAAATACCAAAGGTTATCATCCAGTGCGTGTTGGACACGTTACTTTTAAAAAGAAAGACTTGGGACCCCTGTGGCTTACAGAGAAAAGACCCAGCTGCAGCTGACAGCTGTGGAAGACTAMACGTTCAGAGGGAACTGGGTGGCTGCAGCAGCCTGAAGGAGCACTTGCTACCTGCAGGTTGGTCTTGGCAAGCTGTGGCAGTGCCCACCGTGCGCCCGTCCGGCTGGGAATGCAGCATCCCCAGACTGAGGGCAGCACGGCCCTGTCGTGGATAGCGCTGTGGGAAACGCACGCCGGAGGCTGGGCGGGAATCTTCACTGTGGTTTACAACAAAAAAAAAGCACAGCTGCGGAGTGAGGGCCGTTATGGAGACGGATCCGCCCTAAACCCGGGCTTTGTGGGGCAGCCAGGCGTCAGCACCCACTGCTCTGGTTTGCACYGAAAGTCCCTTCTGGTCCAGGACTGAGTCTCCAGTGAGAGTTAGTCTTGCTGCCTAGAGCAACTCCGCCTGCACCACCCACCTTAGTCAGAGGGACCTGCCTCGTGCTACATTAACCCTTCAAAGGGCGCTCAAGGGAAATGTCATGAAGAAGCTAGAACCAACTGGAATCTGAGACAGCTCCCGATAGGTCCCGTGTGGTCCCTGGCAGCTGCTCCCCCAGGCTTGCTGGCCACAGCACCATTTGCTCTGGCAACCACTGAGCCACCTTCTCTGTCACTAGGTCCKTAACAATCGATCCACAAAACTGCCGTAACCGACGCACAGATTGCATCACGGGGGGCGAGGCTCCGGGCCAAAGCAGCAGAGAAAACCCCGGGCTCGCGTGTCTCGCCTCCCCACTCACAGTCCCACAGCTCGCCCGCCGCAGCTCCGCTGCAACAGAGCGGCCGTGCAGAAAGAAGAGACAACGGGGTTAAAACCAGCAGGCAGTTTGCCTTGGAGTAAGTCCCTTCCCAGACAGGCGGGCCCTGCTAGGATGTCCCCGTTCAAAGCACCCCATGGGGAGCCCGCAGGACCCCGCTGAGGAAGGCCTCACTCAAAACACTCTGTCAAACTCGGTCTGGTTGGTGGCAGTGGGGTTCCTGCCCTGGTTAGCTGGCTGCTGGGGCATGTGCCCACCCCGTCGGCGTGGTGGGGCCAGGTACTCGAACATGGACTGGTTGTGGGTGGACAGCATGTTTTTGAGGTCCGAGGGCATAGGGTCCGACCAGAAGAAGTCGTGGTTCAGCGCGTCGTCGCTGTCGATCCTCTGCGCGGGGTCCAGCACCAGCAGCTTGTCGATGAGGTCCAGCGCGTAGGGGTCTTTGACGTAGGCTTTGAGGCGGTCCTTGACCTTGCGCTTCTGGCCCTTGGGGAGATCCAGCTTCTGGTACAGCTCGTATTTGTCCACGTTCGGCCAAACCTGCGGCAGGGGCGGAGTGGGAGGGRCAGGGGGAATTAGTTACAGAGAGAACAAGCTGCTTTTGATGCTCATGCCCTCAGGCAAACTGGGGCGAGCTCTGCAGAGGGAACAATGYGATTTTATAACCTCCGCGCCAGCAGACTTTGTTCCCACAGTGTGAAGGAGGCACTTCGCTGCCAAGCAAGAGGGCAACGCTCTCTGCTACAGCCTGGAGGCACGTGGACAAGTCAAAACAGACTCCTGCCACCGCAGCGCTTCCRAGGATCTCCCAGAACGTCCCCATTCTCACCCCACAGAGCCTCTAGAGAAAGTGGCCAAAGATGATATCCAGAAAGGTCAAGGGACAAAACCTACAGCTAAGGAACAACCTGAGTGTAGGTTGGACCTTTTATTCTTCCAAAGGAAATCCTGCTGCAGCCACCACTATTTAGCTCAACCCAGTATGTAGCAAACACAGAAAATATGAAAATACAAAGTAAGGCATCTTAAGTGCATGTAAAGAGGCATCAGGCTTCTGCAGCTGATGTTGATATAGGGCCTACCTATAGCACCCCACTTGACTCCAGCCCTGGCCACAAGATCTCCCCAGGTTCCATCTCCCACAAGAGGGCAGGACTAGCAACCCTTAAAAAAGGGCTGCCCCAGACAGGGCTGCCTGTTAGGACCAAGCTCACGCCCCATATCCCAAGCTGGATAGCAGATTTTTTTTTTGGTTAAATCTGCACAGGAACAACACCCTGGTCCCCAGGGCTAGCACAGATCTGCTCCCACCACTCTCCAGATACAGAGCAAAACATAGTGCATGATGAAACAACTCGATAACATACAAGTTCTTCACAACACAAGGTAACTTGCTCTTTAAAAGACACAACATTTATGGGGAAATCAGAGCAAACAAAACCAAGCAAAAAAGGGTGTAAATTGTGGGTAAACTCCATACACGTGACTGCAGCAGGCAAACCCCAAGAYTACTACCAGGGGCTGAGGGGAGATAACATATCCCAGATTTTACAGAGGTGGCTGCCGCAAAACACCTCAGACAGATCCCTCCACACAGAGCAAACCCCGCTTCTTTATCTAACATAAAATACTGAGGGTGTTTGGGTTTTTTTTTTTGTCTAAGAGACTGTCCCCAACCACAGATCAGAAGAGATTCCTACACACAATCTTCTGTTTTATCGCCCTCTGAAGGGCCAGCATGCTCTCTGTACCCAGATCTCCCCAGCTCTAAAGCAACTTCCCTATCTCAAGGAGGGCCTGGGAGGCCAAATTCTCCCTTTTATCTGAAACTCCAGCAGGAGCTGACGCTGAGCAGCGAGCAGTGCCCAGGTGGGCACCCGGCCCACAGGAGTTAACATTTGTGGGAGGAGGGACGCGGGGTCTCCGGGCACACTCCCCACCGGGCTCACCACGGGCAGGGCAGGGAGGAGGACCAGGGATGTGTGGTCTGTGCCCACCCCAGCCCRCCCTTCCTCTCCTGTCCCCCAAAGCCCCGCCGCGGCCGCGCTCAACGCTCACCTCCTGCGTGATGGAGCCGCAGAGCTGGCTGATGAGGGTGAGCTGGTGCTGCTCCGTGTTCCCCTGCATGATGGGGCTGCGGGTCCACATCTCTGCCATGATGCAGCCTCCGCCCCACAGGTCAATGGGGGGGCCATAGTCACGCTCCCCTAAACAGACGCCACGTTAGGTGACGTGCAGAAAGAGAAGGGAAGAGAAGCCGGGAGAGGCATCACCTCCTACCTAGGAGCAGCTCTGGCGGGCGGTACCACAGAGTCACCACCCGGTTGGTGTAGCGGTTTGGCTGGCTGTTTTTAGCCAAGCTGAAAGCTCGAGCCAGCCCAAAATCTGCGAGTTTCAGGACACCGTCCCGYGTGATGAGGACGTTCGCAGCTTTCATGTCCCGATGCAAGATCTGCACGAGAGCAGGCACGAAAAGGTTAGGGCGTCCTCCTGGGGCACCCTGGTGCCAGCAGGACGCGCAGACTGCAGAGGCGATGGACAAGAAAGCATCGCCCTGCAGGCCGAGCCAAGGCACCCGCTGCTTCAAAGGGGGCATGGAGAGCAGGGCGGACCTCGGAGCGCACATCTGGCCCCTTACCTTGTTCCTGTGGATGTAGTAAAGCCCATTCAGCAGCATCTGCATAACTTTCTTGATCTCCGAGAGCGTGAACTTGACRTGAGCGTTGCTGAGAAGGCCGGCCAGGTCATGCTCACAGAATTCAAACACAAGGTAGATGCTTCCCTTACAGCGGTTGTAAGGAGAGGCTGCAAGAGAGGCAAGGACAGACCATGAGCGAGGGTCCCTTGTTCCCACCACAGCCCCTTGACCTCCATCCATCCATCCCCAGAACACAAGGCAGGCAAGGCTACAAAAACAATCTCTGCTTTCTTTTCCTTAATGTTGTGCTGCACAACTGGGGTTTCCTCTCTACAGCTTGTGGCCAGTGACTGCATCTACCTGAGCTACCAGCCAAGTGTTATCCCTGCAGCAGTGCCAGAGGCAGCAAAGGCAGCCCCAGGACAAGTGCAGAAACACAGACAACTTCTTAATACACGATTAGAAAGTGCAGTTTTCTGCAACCTCACACAGCATCTACAACAATGCAGTGATCTGGATCAGAACAATTTAGATCTCCAATTTCAATTGCAATTTAAAGTCAATAACAGGAAGCCCCAAATGAAGACACCAGTCTTGCTCCTAGAGCACATGTGCAAAAGATTATGGAAAAAAGGTTGATTTTTGTCAGCTCTAATCAGCAAAATATGCAAATCGGCAAATAAAAACAGAAAATGAGAGCCTAGTTTAGCCTTGGACTTCACGCTTAACACAGCACTTTGCTAAGCAGAAGGATGCCTGTTAAACAAGATGCACAATTCTCTAAACAAGTAAGGTGATCCTTAATACACCTTTTCAACATAAAAATAAAGAGAACAGCTTAGCTTGCAGTGTGGTAACAGTAAACACAACATTCCTATTTTGCCTGAAACTGAGGTCAAGATACATTGGGAAAGAAACGGGAATTCAAACCAAGAGCAAACAATTTACATGGCTACAAAACATCGCTCCCTCCAGCACACCAGACACTATYGACTGCTGTAATCACACAGCAAACTTAAAAAAGAAAACAAGCAAAGAAAACACACAAAACCCTCTGTTAATGATGAATGAGGTTTTTCCTCGTGTATTTTAGTTTTAAAATCTCAGACAAAAAAAAAAAATCTATATGCAATGGAGCACTGAAATGGCTTCAGGTCAGTGACTTCTACCAGGTCAGTGCCTGGACTAAAAAAAAAAGGCACAGGCAGATTCACCTCACTTGGATTTTTATTTAACTGAAACAACCAAGTTTGAAGGGGGTGGAAGAAGAGCTCAGGAGGCGCTGCGTGAGCTGCCCTCACTGAGCCAGAGCACTCTGAAGGCGGCCCTTGAAGCACGAGCAGTCACTGTCACACACAGAAGCAGAGCTAGAGAGTCCCCAGCTGGTGCYGTGGCATCAGCTCCAAGCTCTCGAGCAGCGTCACATGCAAACCCAGAAAGGGACAGCTCTGCTCCTGACACGTACAAGTAAAACAGCCAAAAGACCAGCGCTGAGAACCCCAGGCTTCGCTTTTCTTTCTAGGGTTAGTTTATTTAAAGCCTCTCARTCAGGAGCTGCAGGACTCCACTGGCTGCCACAAGACAGAGGGGCTGTGGAGTCTCCTTCTCTGGAGATCTYCACAACCCCTTTGGACGCAGCCTGTGCCACCTGCTCTAGGTGACCCTGCGTGTGCAGGGGGTTGGACTAGAGGATCTCTGGAGGTCTCTTCCAACATTAAGGATTCTGTGATTCTATGAACACCCGTGTGCCCAGCAAAGGGGCACCTTGGGCTACCTTTGGTCCTGCAGATCTCGATGAGGTTCACCACATTCTCGTGCTTGAGCAGCTGCAGGATTTTAATCTCTCGCAAGGCTGTGATGGGGAACTGGAAAGGACAAAGACAGAACAGGGATGAGAGCAGGGCAGAGCAGGCCCCGGTTACCACGGGAACAGAGGCCGAGACGGGAGCAGAGCAGGGGCCCTGCCCGAGYAGCACCCTGGCGAGGCACGAAAGGGAGAGCAGATCTCTGAAAAATAAACCCAGTGCTGGGGCGGCCGTAATCCACTCCCCGCCACGCCGGCTCCTGCTCTCTGCGGGGCATTTGAGAGGGCTGCCCAGGCTGGGTAGAGCTGCTCGTGCCGCACCAGGTCTGTGCACGACAGGGGCACCACACCACAAACACCTCAAGGCACAAGGAAACCTGCCCAAACACTGCAGCGCCGGCCACAACAGCGTTATCAACACGAGAGGAAAACGAGCCAAGATCCCGGGGCTGAAATCCCATCCACACCTTCAAGAGTCCAACATTTGGCACGTTTCAGCAATAAAAACTGCTAAAAACCATAACACGGACGCGCTACAGAGCGACCCACAGCAGCGGCCCCCAACACCAGCCTTCCCCGCGACTCCCGCTCCTCCCCGCAGAGCGGAGCAGCCTCCCCGCCACTCACCCCCTCCTTCTCGTTCTCCATCAGCACCTTCTTCAGCGCCACCTTCTTGCCCGTCTGACGGTGCTTTGCTTTGAAAACCTCCCTGGAAAAAAACAGCGAGGAAAASAAAAAAATATGTATATATGGGACGGAGTAAGGAGAAGAGGAGCCCGGCGCCACGTAAACAATCCAGAGCTCCATGGAGACGCCCCGCGCTGCGCCAAGCCCCGGTCCCCTCAAGGCGGAGGGCCCCGGGCGGGGGGAGGCCCCGGTGCCCACGGGCCTAAAGGGACCGGCGGAGCGGGCGAGGGGGCGGCGAGGCCTCGGCGTGGCCGGGGCGCGGGCGGCGGGGCGGCGGCGCTCACCCGAACGTGCCCTGCCCGATCTTGGCGAGCTTCTCGTACTTGGACACCTCGTCGCAGAAGGGACACTCCACCATGTCGTACTGCTTCGCCATGCCGCCCGCCCGCCCCGCTCCCCAAACCCGCCGCCGTCGCCTTCCGCTTCCGGCCCGCCGCCGCGACGCGCACCTTCCACCCAGCGTCGCGAGGGACCCTGGGATTTGTAGTTCTAAGGGGGCGCCGCCATGTTGGGGGCGGCGCGGCCCCCGCCACCTTCCCTAGGAAAGGGAAAGTCGCTCCCAAATATTCCAGCAGAACCCGGAATTCCAGCTCGGCGGGGCGCGCCCTTCCCAGCGCTCCCATGCGGGGCGTTGTGGCCACATGGACACTGTGGTCCTCCCATCACCCCCCAAGACAGGGGCCATGGTGCGGACGGAACCTCCGCGTCAGGATGTGCCTGGGGGCAACGGGATCCCCCGCAGCCTCCTGCGGGTTTCCCAGCAGRCAACTGCCCCAGTGTCCACACCAACACTGTCCTGAGCTGTATTCTTTGCCCTGGCATCGCCGGGATGCAGCCGCGTCYATATCCATATCCATGTCCGTGTCTGTGTCCATGTCCACGTCTGTGTCCATGCCCCATTTCAGAGCGAGTTCGTGCCCGCTGGAATTAGCGATCCCGGTGCCAGGGATTCCCCATCAGCCCCCTGGTGCTGATACCCGGGCATGTAGCAGCAGCAGCGACGGCCTTGCCGGGGAYGGGGCGGTCGCGGGGCCCCTTCCCATGGATGTGCTGGTGAAGACGTACGGAGCAACCAGGATCCCTCCTAGGAGCTGCCCGCGGCCGTGGCCTCCCCCGGGGGCAGAACCACTTGTCTGGGGTCGTTTTAAGCTGCTCCCAGGGTTGGGAAATGCAACGAGCTGCATCCGTCGGGAGGTGCAGGGATGGCTCCCGGCTGCACGTGCTGCCTCCTGCGCAGAGGCCAGAAGCCGGGAAAAGGCTCCCATAGGTCTATCCAGCCTGGGGACCATCCCATGGGAAYCCCTGCACCCACAGAGGGGCTCCCAGGGGGGTCCCAATGGGGATCCCAGAGGGGCTCCTAAAGGGACTCCCAAAGGAGCTCCCAGAGGGGCTCCCAAAGGGCCCCAGGAGAGCGGTCGGTGGCCGTGGTGACACCGGCACCCGCCATGGTCCCTGGGGGCCGTCACCCGGCGCGGGGGCGTTGCGGCGGCGCGGGGGCGTCGCGGGCGGCGGCGGCGGGAGGAAGCGGCGCGCGGAGGCGGAGGGGCAGGAAGGGAGGAGCGGGGCAGGGAGGGCGCCCGCTTCACAGCCCCCGCCGCCCCTCGCGCCGCCGCCATGGCCGAGGGCCAGAAACGAGGGGCCTTCAAGAAGTTCAGTGAGTGGCCGCGGGGGCAGGGGCGGCGGGGCGGCGGATGCCCACGAGCGGGGTACGAGCGGATGCTCTGCGGGTGCTCCTGTGGGTGCTCTGCAGGTCGCCGCTTCCTGGGGGCCTCAGGGGCCGCGCGGGCTCCGGGTTCATCCAGGCTGGGGTGCGGGGTGGAAGGATGCAGGCATTTGCATCCCTGTGGTGTGGAGTGACCCACCTGGGACCTGGGAGCTTGGGACCTGGGAATGGGGTGACGGCTGTGATGGCTCTGCCCTCGCRCAGCCCTGCGCGGGGAGGTGGCAGGGCCAAGGCTGCCTCCAACGCCCCRTCCCAAAGGGATTTCCGCTCCCCAGGCCACGTATCCCTGGGAATATTTACCCCTGGATGCAGGGGGGTGTGAGCAGACGAGCTGGGCTTCAGAGGGGCGAATCCTAACGGATGCAGCCGGGATCCCRCGCGGAGGCCGCGCGTGAGGCCGTGCTGCTCTCGCAGGGAGCTGCTGGGCTGCCCTCCTGGAGCAAACGCTGCCCTTTCCCACGGAGCGGAGCAGAGCGGAGCGGAGCGGGGGTTTTCCCCGGAGGCCTCAGAGGCGGCTGCAGCGAGCGAGCCCCGCGCGCTGCCCTCCCGCTGCTCCCGGCATTCCTGCCTGCCGGCCCCACGTGCTGGGAGCCGCACTCCCTCGGCGCCGTCCGTATCCCACGACCCGGCCCGGCCAGGATTTGCCCCGCAGAGGGGACAATTCTGCCCTCAGCCTTCCTGCTGCCGCAGCCGGGTGGTTCCTGCGCGTGGCTTTAGTGCAGCCTCTTCGGCCGCGTCTCCCCCGTGCGCAGGGGCACCCGTGGGGTGGCAGAGGCCGCGGCCCCGGTGCTGCGGCCCCGCGCGGCCACCTGGGCTCCTCGCACGGCTCCGCGGCCGCTCTCGGCTTCCTGTCTTGACACGCTCGGCTTTCCTGAAGGGGAAGCGGCTCCGCAGGGCCCCACCGGCCGCGTTGCGAAATGCCGGAGGCTCCCGGCACACGGAGGCTCCGCCGCGCACGGGGCTGCGGCCCACGGAGCGGAGCGGGGCGGCAGCGCAAGGCGCCCAGGCCCCACGCATTGCGAGCCCCGCGGCTGCTCGCTCGGCTCCTGCAGGCTCCTGTCTGCAGCCGCTGCCGCGTCACCAGTGCCCTGGCGCCCTGTCCTCAGGAGCTCGTGCACACCGGGCTGGAGCGGTGCCCACCTGCACCCATCCACTYCGTGCACGCGGAGATAGTGCCCGCCCGGAACAGCGGGGATGCCACCGGGACAAGCGGCCCTTAGGGAGGAGGTCCCAAGGGCTGGGATTCCCCGGGGGGTTCCTGCACRCGCGGCTCTCCCTGCACCCTGGGGCCATGCTGGGGAACGTCGCTGCGGGGGATGCATTTGCCGCCGGGTCCCGCCAGCYGCTCGCGGGAGGGCAGCGCCGGCTCCGAGCTCACTTGCGCCCCCGGGTGCASCCACCATCACCCCGTGCTGGCACTAACCCCTTTCCCCATCCTCTCTTCCCGCCAGAACTGTTCAAGTTCAAGGGCTTCGGGAGCCTGAGCAGCCTGCCCCGCGGCTTCGCGCTGCGGCGCGTGTCGGTGGCCACCGCCTCCGCCGAGGGCCTGGGCACGGCGCTGGGGGAGCCGCCCGACAGCGCCCGGGACGACCTGCACGCCATGCCCAAGAGCCCGGCGCCCTACGCCAGGTCGTCCGACATGTACAGCCACATGGGCACCATGCCCAGGCTCAACCTGCACAAGGCGGCCCGGAGCCCGGGCCAGGCCAGGAGCGCCCAGAGCAGCCGTGACAGAGGCATCCCAAGTGCCACCGCCGCATCCCCGCTCCCCGCGTCCTGCCGTGTTCCCGGCACRGACCCGCACGCACCAGCTGGGGACAGACGGCGGCAGGAGGAAGAGGCTGTGCCCTTGGACGCGCTGGGGGCAGCCAGGGCCGGGAGCGACCGGGAGCTTTCGGGGATGGTCTCGCAGCCTGAGCCAGCGGCTCCAAGCCCCAGCCCAGCCCCGGGCCCAGCCGCGGTYGCTGGAGCAGGGACTGTCGGTGCCGACCTGCTGGAGAAGGGGCACGAGGGCCCCAGCGAGGGAGCACGGCGCAGGTAAGGCGCTCAGCTCGCACCGGGCGCTCCCGTGCCACCAGCACATCCCTCCCCGCACGAGGCTGCGTGTCCACRGCCCCGGCCCCTGCTGGGGTGCCCGGGGCAGGAGCGGGCGCCACCGGGAGCCAAGGGCGGCAGCGCCGGGTCCCTGTGCCCGCCTCGCTCGCGGGATGCACCTGGCAGACCTAGCCACACTGCCACCTCAGGCGCTCCGGAACGCAGCGCTTCCTCTGGGATTGTGGCTCTCCCGCCTGTTTCCGACTGGGCGGGAAACATCCCGCGGCCTCGCTCGGTCTGCGCTTCCCCTTGTCCTGCTGGCCGCTCCCTCCCAGCTCCGGATTCTCCATGGGGCTCAGGGCTCCTCGCCACACGCACCAGCGTGGAGAGCTCCCATTTGTGTCCCCTGTTCTTCCTCCATCTCATTCTCCCTTTCTCCCTTCCTCCCATCCTTGCCCCACCAAAGCAGCACCAGGGCAGTCCCCAGAACCCACCCACCCCTTCCCACATCTCTCCCCAGCCVTTAAACCCCAGTGGGAGGCACCGCACGGGCACAGGGCAACCTCCCTCCCCAGCTCCCCGGGCCGGCGCTTGGCTTTGCGGGACGGGGAAGAGCCCTGCGGAGCCGGGATGCGGCGGCGCGCGGGAGCAGCGCGCGGGGCAGGCACAGCGGGAGCGAGCGCCGGCGCCTCTGCCCCTCTCCCAGACCCGCTGCCTCCTTTGGAGGTCTTTGCCCTCAGGCTCCCTGGGAGGGTTTGGAAGCCCTGCTTTGAAAGCCCTGCCCATCAGCGGGGCTCCAACTGGTGCCCCGCGCAGCTCCGCGTGTGCGCAACCCTCCCTTCTGCTCCGACCGGGCGCCCGTGGCGCCGGCCCCGACCCGTCTCTCCACACGGGCTCCCCGTTACCCGGGGCTCACACCAGGGAGGCTCCGCGCGGTGCCAGGAGCAGGGGGACGCAGAGGAATTCCTGCCGGAGCCAGCATTCCTCGGCGGGCGCCAAGGGAGGGCCGGAGGAGGGCCGGGACGGGAAGGAGGAGGGTCCGCGGCGGCCGCCGCCTGGCGCAGCCCAAAGTCGGGCGCTCAGAGCCGGGCGGCCGCTCGTCCCCGAGAGCTTCTCCCCGTCCGCGGCAGCGCTCGGCAGCGCAGATGACCGAGGTGGGCAGGAGGCTTTGCCCCCTGGGCCATGGCAGGTAAGCAGTGCGGAGSGGCACGGCAGAGGGGCCGGGCCGGGGCAGGAGCAGGGGGGCTTCAAAGAGCCCCAGACGGGCTTGCAAAGCTGCGGGGGGGGCTCGGGGTGCTGCCGGGGGCGCCGCGCGGCCACCGAGCACCATGGAGGATCCACTCATGGAAAGAACGAGCCCATCAGCCACGGAAACCGCAGGCAGGCGAGACCCGGCGCCAGCGCCGGCCGCTCCCAGGTGGGTCTGGCCGCTGCCAGCCCAGCAGGGAGCCCCAAAGTCAAGGGCCAGGCGCCCCTCCACGTTGCCCAGGGCCGCGTTGACGGGAACAGTGGCCGAGCTCCTCGCTGGGAGCGTGGGGCAGAACTCGGCCTCGGGGGCTCTGCCCCTGCCCCGCGCGGAGCCCGGGCAGTGCCGGAGCCGCGAGCGGAGCCGCGAGCGGACGTGACTCCACTTCCCTCCGGAAAAGGGCCGTGCACGGGAAATGCCGCTTCCCGTGGGGCACGGGCTGGGCCCCACAGCCCCGCGCTGCTGCCGGAGCCCTCGGCAGCGCCTTCGCCCCGAGAGCCGCAGCGAGGCCGCCCCGGCACGGGGGTAAGGGAGGCGCCGGTGCCCCCGCTTGGCTGCGCTGCCCTGACGCCGCAGTCCRGAGGACGGGCCGGGGCTCTGGACCACGGACCAGCCACGGCACCGGCCCCCAAGCCGGCCTGGTGCTGGGCATGGACAGGAGCGCTGCGAGGCCCCACAGGCCCCAAAGCCACCGTGGGACCCCCACCCCGTCCTGCTAGCGCAGCTCCCAGCAGCTCCCCATGCCCTCAGCTGTGTCCCCGGCAGAGCAAAAGCAAATTCCAGCCCTGGAATTTCTCCGGCTGCCCCCCAAACGCCGCCGTTTCCTGCAGGAATGCGGTGAGCCGGGGCCTGGGCGCCCCTGCCCTCGCGCCACAGCTGCTGCCCTCSGCCCGGCTCCCCGGCAGGGCCTCCCCGCGCAGGGCGCTCAGCGCCGCTTCCCAGCTGCTCCCATGCTCCCGATTTCCTGCCCGGAGGCCCCCCGGCCTCCTGCCCTTTATTTTCTCACGGGTTTCCCGTGTGAAACGCAGACGGGCTGGAGAGGCAGCGCCKGGACGCGAGGAGCCTGTGGGCGGCCTGAGCCCCCCTCAGCTCCCCCAAGCCCCTCCTGTGCCTTTTCCACCCTAACTGAGCGATTCCCAGCCCCATTTTCCCCTCCYGAGCAGCTCAGGCTCGGGAAGGGAGAGCGGGATCTGCTGGGTGCCGGGCAGATGGCCCGGGATGGTGGCAGGACACATCTGGGGTAGGGGACATGGGTCTGATGAAAGAAGTCTGGATTTTTGTATTTCGTCCTTAAAGTTGAGACCTGGGTGGGGAAACATTGGCTTGTTCCAGCTGGGAGAGCTGCTGCTTCCCTGCTCGTGAAATCCCTTTGGACTCATCCATACCGATAATACCTGGAGCCAAAAGGGGTTAAAAAGTGGGCACAGAATTGCCAGTTGAGTGGGGAAGAGCAGCAGCCGCCTGTGCCCCTCATCATCTGGCAGAGAAGCTGCCGGATTAGTTGTGTCTCAGAGCTGCCAGGTTAGTCGTCAGTAGGGCCAAGAGTGAACATGTCACCGAGGAGAAGAGGAAGATCTCTGCAGCTTCAGTGCAGGGTGGATTTCTGCAGGGGTGCGTGAGGCCGTGGAGAAATATCGGGAAGAGCCGGTAGCTGGTGCTCCGCGGCAGCCCGACGCGCCCGCCCCGCGGCACGTGGCGCCCGCCGCGCGGCAGGAAGCGCCTGCGCGGACGGCGTGTCCCCAGGCACCCTGTGCCCGGACGGGCCGTGGGAACGCGGGGCTGCGGGAACGGGGCCAGGTGCTCCCGAGCGCTCGCTGGYGCGCGGGCCCGCCCCGCTCCGCTCACATGCTCCCAAGCCGATTTGAGGCGAGATCCCCTGGAACGGCCTCGCTCTGCCCTGATCGCATTAGGGAGGCCGAGCTCGGCGCTGAGAGCGGGCGCGCGGCACCCTGGGGGGTGACACAGCCTCGGGGGCCTGTCCCAAACTGCCCCCTGCAACCACCTCCTCTGACCTCATCCTGCACATTTACTTATTTTTGTTCTTTCCTCCTTTTCTAGCTCCCACGACAGCCTGGAGTCCGGCAGCGAGTACGTCAAGGTAAGAGGCCGCGTGCAGCCTGCCCAACCAGAGCCCCTCCGCGTGGTGCCAGCAGTGCTGACACGTGCCCTGGCTCCTGGTGGCTCTCCGTGGGTGACGGTGACRGTCACACGTGCCCTGAGGACAGCAGGGCCCCGGCCCAACACAGGGACCAGAGCGGCTTCCCGGCTGGAGCCGGCGCAGGGTCCGGGAGCTGCCTGCGTTTCGCAGGGGCTGCCTCCCGTCACCGTCCCCACGGAGCCAGGGCAGGACTGGGGCCGTGCGCACGGCCGTCCCACCAAAGTGCCCGTAAATCTCTGCAAAGCTCTCGCTTATCCTCCAGCAAACTATTAACATTCCTGAGGACGCCTCATGTCTGGCCAGAAATTCATTAGCGAGGCGCCTGGCTGCGCGGGAGCCGGCCCCTCGCAGGAGACTGCTGGCGCGGGGGGACATGGGGACATGGGGCATTTGGGGGTTGGATCATCTAAACCCGGCCTGCTCGGTAGGGCGCTGCCATGCGACGACTTCATGGGTGTCTCCCGGGTGGCCATGAGGGCACGTTGGGGCATGGGGATTCCTTGTTCGTGCAGGCAGGACCCTCAGCGTGGGGCTGAGGGCACTTTCTGGTGTTGTTTCCCTTGTCCCACCCGCGTGTGCCCCTCGAGAYGGGCGCGTTTTGTGGCTCCCGAGTTAATGGGCTGAGCCCATCGCTGAGCAATGGGCAAAACCCCGTCCCGCTGGCACTGCCCTCCCTTTCTCACCCATCCCGACACCTGTGGCCACCAAGTGCGATTTATGCCCTGCTTCCCTTCAGCGCTGGGAGCCACTGGTGGCTGCCGCCGCGGCAGCTGGTTGGGACAGATAAGGAGCTGATGATTTAGAGCCATGAGGTGATGGGGGCACTCGGGCTGGCAGCCCCCGGCCCCGGTGGCCAGGAGCACCTGGCAGCGTCTGGCCTGGGCCACCACGTGGCCACGGGGAGGTCTCTGCCAGCGCTGCGGGTTGGTGGCATCGCCAGGCTCCTCTGCCCGGGAGGACAGCCCTTGTGTCCCCAGGCCGTGGTCAGAGGTGCAGTGATGGACCGCGAAGGTCGGGAGGAGGAGGAGGAGCAGGCCCAGAAGCGGCTGGTGGCCAAGGGCAGCCTTGGCCTCAGGACAACCTGAGTGCTGATGTTCCCAAGCTGCCGGGGGATCCAGCACTGGCCCCGCTCACTGGAAGCCCTGGCGGGTGCAGCTCTGCGGCAGGCACCGTAAAACCCCATTCCCCCCGAGAGAGCCGACGTGTGTTGGGATGAGAAGCCTCTTGAAGGCATTTGGCTTCCATGGCGCCCCAAAATCTGGTGATTTTGGCCCAGACCCATTGCGGCCTGAGAGGCGTAGGCGGATGGGGAGGCCCCCTCTCGCCCACCCGCAGGGAGCCTCCGAGCAGCCCAAGCCGCCGTGGAGCAGAAGTCTTTGCGGGAATCTGATCCAGAGGCGGCTCCGCTGGCAGCGGCCGTTCCCAGCGCGCTGCCATCTGCTCCGTCGCTCGGACCCGCGCGGCAGCAGGAGAGCCGGGGCTCTCCGCTCCCCTCCCAGGCGGATGGGGCCGTGCCAGCAGCCGCCCCTGCGCTCGCGCTCCCTTCCTCCTCGTCTCGGGCTGCGGGGGCTCGCGCGAACACAGCATATGTGGAAGTTTTCCACACCAGTGGGACGCGGCAGAATAATTCCGAGCTGGCGGAGACCTGGGAGTGCAGAGACTCCAATTACCTGGAGCAGGGTTGAACCCAGGTGCAGGGCAGCGGACCCTCGGCCCYGCTGGACCCCTCTTGCAGTCATTAAATCCAAGTGTGGGTGAAGGGGGCCGGGATTTGGGGCTAGGGGGGCAGTTGGGAGCGTGCCGGGGGGTTCCCGCTCCCCCCGCTGTGCAGCCTGCCGGGCTCCAGCACCGCTTTGAGTCACCGRCGCTGCCGCACTCGTCCCCTATCGCGAATCCGTGGCCTTAATTAAACTGAAGTAGAGCCTTAATTAAAGATAGCTTAGACGTGGCCTACGTGGGAAGCAGATGGGCACCACCAGCAGCTCCCAAACCATGTCCGGGGCTCCCCCTCAAAAAACCACTGCTGGGGGGGCAGTGGGACAGGGGTGTCCCCAGGGAGAGCGAGGAAGGGCAGAGGGGATGAGGGGGAGGGCGACAGGCCTTGGGGACAAGGACAGAAGACCCGTGAGGGTGTCCCTACCCCATGGGTGCCAATGGGAAGTGCAGAGACATCTGGGGTGGGGGCATGAGGTGAGCTGGGGGTACCGGGTGTCCTCACAGATGGGGGGAGATGGGGGTACCAGGACCCCCATTGAGGTGGAGGGAGATGGGGGGGGTGCCAGGACCTCCATGGGAATGGCATGAGATGGGGGTGCTGAGACCTCCCTGCCATGAGGCTGGGGGAAATTGCAGAGTGCCAGGACCCCCATGGAGGTGGAGGGAGATAGGGGTGCCAGGACCCCCATGGGAATGGAGGGAGATGGGGGTGCTGAGATCCCCCCCATGAAGCTGGAGGAAATTGCGGCGTTCCAGGATCTCCCTGGAGGATGGAGTGAGATGGGGGGTGCCAGGACGCCCCTGGGGATGGAGGGAGATGGGAGGTGCCTGTACTTCTCAGAGCTGTAGGGGGAGATGGGGGTGCCAGGCCCCTCAGGGGGATGGGGGAAATGGGGGTGCCAGGACCCCCTGGGGGATGGGGGTGCCAGGCTGGCCAGGGTCGCGGTCCCAGAGCCCCGCAGCGCGCGGGGAGCCGGGGGAGCCGGGGCCGGCGGAGCCGGGGCCGGGGCCGGGGCCACACGAGCT